CCTCGATACAAACTTTTAGTACACAGAAAGTTCCACAATTAGTACGTTTCTCGTTACTTTAAACTTGACAACTTTTATAATACAAGCTATAAATCACGGCGATTCACAATCTCGATAACTTCGCTCTCGACAAGTGCAAGACCCACACTTTACGGCTCACTAGCTCGAAACTAACAGAATCAAAAACTACAATGAACTCAAAGTAACTACTGCTCTCTCTTCATTTATATATCTCGCCGCGCTGGCTCTTCTCTGCCGGGCTTATATACTAATGAAGAGGGCATCTCCAAAACACTCGGACTTCCCCGATCATTCGGGAATGTAGTAACAATATAAATAATTATGTTTTGATCTAATAGGACCCTGAGATTTAAATAAATGTGTTTTTGATGTAATAAGACCTTGGCATACAAATAAGTAAGTTTTTGATCTAATAAAACCACGGGATATAAATATGTATGTTTCTGACCTAATAAAACCACGGGATATAAATAAGTATGCTTTTGACCTAATAAAACCACGGCATATAAATCAGTATGTTTTTGACCTAATAAAACCACGGGATATAAATAAGTATGCTTTTGACCTAATAAAACCACGGAATATAAATAAGTATGCTTTTGACCTAATAAAACCACGGGATATAAATAAGTATGCTTTTGACCTAATAAAACCACGGAATATAAATAAGTATGTTTTTGACCTAATAAAACCACGGAATATAAATAAGTATGCTTTTGACCTAATAAAACCACGGGATATAAATAAGTATGTTTTTGACCTAATAAAACCACGGGATATAAATAAGTATGCTTTTGACCTAATAAAACCACGGAATATAAATAAGTATGTTTTTGACCTAATAAAACCACGGAATATAAATAAGTATGCTTTTGACCTAATAAAACCACGGGATATAAATAAGTATGTTTTTGACCTAATAAAACCACGGGATATGAATAAGTATGCTTTTGACCTAATAAAACCACGGGATATAAATAAGTATGCTTTTGACCTAATAAGACCGTTGGATTTAAATAAGTATGTTTTAGATGTAATAGACACTAGGATTTAAATAAGTATGTTTTAGATGTAATATACACTAGGATATAAATATGTATGTTTTAGATGTAATAGACACTAGGATATAAATATGTATGTTTTAGATGTAATAGACACTAGGATATAAATATGTATATTTTAGATGTAATAGACACTAGGATATAAATATGTATGTTTTAGATGTAATAGACACTAGGATATAAATATGTATGTTTTAGATGTAATAGACACTAGGATATAAATATGTATGTTTTAGATGTAATAGACACTAGGATATAAATATGTATGTTTTTTATCTAAAATGACCATAAGATATAAATACATTTTTGAATCAATAAAAAAGACAAACAAATTACGGTAAGCAAGATTACTCCTTAAACACAAGTTATATTTATTGAAATGTCGAAAACTTAAGACAAAAATAATAATTAGCTCAAAACCTTAAAACTAACAAAAAACGTATTAGGCTTAAACTTTTGAGCTTTCATTATTAATCGAAGCCACAAAGATCATCACCAAGAATAAATAAACATTTCATAGTTTAGGGCTGGATTACATTCCAACTAATAAAAGTTTTCTAAAATCCATCTTGGTCGTGGTCGTACGAAGATCAAATTATTTACTGCTTGTTTAACCCATGTTGAACTCTTCAGCTAGACAGATTTATCATTCGAATGGAATTTACTTTGAACAAGATTAACTTTACAACACAAGAAGAATGACGTCATAAAATAATGGATGTTACTCAAGGGTTATCTGCGCTCGTCCTAATTTTGAAATGGTAGACTAGAAGCAGATCAACGACAGGCACAACCAACACTCAGGATACTCTTGTTTGATCTGTGCGATAAAGGCCCCAAAGTGCGGAGAATGCTATCCACACGGCCACGTTATTTGTTGTGTGCAGAACGTTTTGAACACCTACGAATAGGTAGGAATCCTAACATCCGCATTCTATTGCTATACACCAAAGATTGTAAATTACTAAAATACACATAACCAGCAGAACACACTAGCAGACCAACATCCACAAAGTTATAATTAATGCATTACACATAAACAAAAAAACACACCATCAATAAAGTATTAATTAATGCAATACACACCAGCATCACCACAATTCACAAAGTGTTAATATAATACACATAACCAACAGAACACACTAGCATCATCACTATTCACAAATTGTGAATTTATACAATACACGTTACCAACAGAACACACCAGCACCCCAACCATTCACAAAGTGTTAATTAATATAATACACATAACCAACAGAATACACTAGCATCATCACTATTCACAAAGTGTTAATATAATACACATAATCAACAGAACACACTAACTAGCATCATCACTATTCACAAATTGTTAATTAATATAATACACATAACCAACAGAATACACTAGCATCATCACTATTCACAAAGTGTTAATTAATATAATACACATAATCAACAGAACACATGAGCATCACCACTATTCACAAAGTGTTAATTACTACAATACACATAATCAACAGAACACATGAGCATCACCACTATTCACAAATTGTTAATTTATATAATACACATAATCAACAGCACACATGAGCATCATCACTATTCACAAAGTGTTAATTAATATAATACACATAACCAACAGAATACACTAGCATCATCACGATTCACAAAGTGTTAATTAATATAATACACATAATCAACAGCACACATGAGCATCATCACTATTCACAAAGTGTTAATTAATACAATACACATTACCAACAGAACACACTAGCATCACAACCATTCACAAAGTGTTAATTAATATAATACACATAACGAACAGAACACACCAGCACCCCAACATCCATGAAAGTGTTAATTAATATAATACACACAACCAACAGAACACACCAGCATCACCACTATTCACAAACTGTTAATTAATATAATACACATAATCAACAGAATACACTAGCATCATCACGATTCACAAAGTGTTAATTAATATAATACACATAATCAACAGCACACATGAGCATCATCACTATTCACAAAGTGTTAATTAATATAATACACATAACCAACAGAATACACTAGCATCATCACTATTCACAAAGTGTTAATTAATATAATACACATAATCAACAGCACACATGAGCATCACAACCATTCACAAAGTGTTAATTAATATAATACACATAACCAACAGAACACATGCGCACCCCAACATCCATGAAAGTGTTAATTAATATAATACACACAACCAACAGAACACACCAGCATCACCGCCATTCACAAAGTGTTAATTACTACAATACACATAATCAACAGAACACATGAGCATCACCACTATTCACAAAGTGTTAATTACTACGATACACATAATCAACAGAACACACCAGCATCACCACTATTCACAAAGTGTTAATTAATATAATACACATAACGAACAGAACATACCAGCACCCCAACATCCATGAGTGTTAATTAATGTAATACACATAACCAACGGAACACACCAGCAACACCGTTATCAACAAAGTGATAATTTAGCTGAATAATCTATTTCCTTGTTGTTTTACTGGGTAAACACCACCATCCATAAAGTGATAGTTCAGCTGTTGATAAACTCTCGTAGACGAGATCTGTTTTTGCAATTCACGCTTGTCATCAAGTAAGGATAATGTCCGTTATGCAGTCACCAAAGAAGTTTTGTAAACTTTCGATTTATTCAGTATATTTGGTGAATGCACTGAGTGGTGAACACTATCAGACTAGCTAAAAACTTAGGTTCCAATATTTGGCAAATAATCTCACCATCACATCCATTTTTCTGTTCAATGTGCAGTATTTGGTCGACAAGCTGTGTTTTTCCAATGCGATCTCAGTTCTGTTCAATGTGCAGTATTTGGTCGACAAGCTGTGTTTTTCCAATGCGATCTCAGTTCTGTTCAATGTGCAGTATTTGGTCGACAAGCTGTGTTTTTCCAATGCGATCTCAGTCCAGAAACACTGATGTATTTCTTTTTGCATTTTTCACAGATGTATGGTCTCTCGTTGGTGTGCAGCCGCTTATGAAGCTTCAGATGGATAAACTGTGTGAACTTGGCTGGACAAAAGTCACAAGCGTATGGTTTTTGACCACTGTGTAGTCTCAAGTGGGTTTTCAGATTGCTGGTGCTACTGAACCTCTTTTGACAAACTTCACATTGGTGTGGTTTCTCCCCAGTGTGAACCAAATGGTGCTTCTGAAGGTGAGCCAGTTGGGTGAAGCTTTTCGCACAGATGACACACCAGAACGGCCGCTCGCCTGAGTGGGTTCGAAGATGGACTTTTAAGTTAGATAGTTGTCCAAAAGTTTTGAAACAAGTATTGCACTCATAGTGCAACTTTCCGTCCTTCTTCTTCAGTGGATACGGCAGTGAGCGTAAGCCTCGATGAAAAGAGAAAGAAGAGCATGCAGTTGTAATGTTAGTTCCTTTGGAATCCAAAGAAAGCTGATGTCCTGGAACAACACTGAACTGGTGAGGTGCAAAGTGAGACAGCCACGTAGATAAACCTTTCACAGGACTGTCTAAACTTAACAAAGGAGAGGAATACATGTTGATGCAGGGGGAAGAAAACATCTGGGTCAGTTGATTTGTATACAGATAGTTTGGTTGGTGGGCAGCCGAAGAGAAAAGCTGGTTCACTTTAAACATGGAGGCAAGACATTCTGTGTTTCTACTGCAAGAACTGGCTGTCTGGAAAATATTTTGGTGTGGATAAGTAGTATGGTTGCTACAAAGAGTGTATGGATTTGGTGTGGGTGCAGATTCATTAGTCCTAGTTTTCTCGTCTTGATTTGGTGGAGATTTATTAGTCCTCGTTTTCTCTTCCGGATTTAAAAAAGAATCAGTAGTCCTAACCAAGAGTTCTTGAGCTGGTGAACACTTTAAATATTCTTCGTGGTAGATATCTGTCAGCAGTATGTCTTGTTGTAAAGGTTTATAAGGAAGAATGTTTTTAAGTTTTCGAAAAGATGAGCCTTCCTCCAGTACTTGGGAACTTTTCTCTGCATAAGTTATGAAATTAGACGATTCTCTTTGTTTGCAATCGTTTAGTATATATTTATTTTTTGAAACATTGAATTGTGAATCAGATAGAGTAATTTCTTTCTGTTTCAAGCTGGCTTTACTTCGGTACTGGTAAGCTTTTGGTAACTTGATCTTAACTTTTCTAAATTCATTCTTATCATGAACGTCTCTATTCGTTTTCTTTTCCTTAACGTTGAAATCTAGGACATGACCCCTTTCTTTTGAAAACGTTAACATATCCTCTTGACTACTATTACTTTGGTAATCTTCATCAGTACGTGTGCTGCCCTCTCTTGGCTTAAACTGATACAAGCCAGTGATGAAATAGTGATCCTTATTGATTTGTAGTTGTTGTTCTGAAAATAGCAAATTTATCAGAAAAAAGATAATTTAATCCTAATAAATACTTCATTTATTGGAAACATTTATACAATAAAGGTGATAGCAAATTTTAGGGTATATTATTAATATATTGACAGATGTTTTAAAATACTCCAACGTTGAAATCCGTTTCTGGTAGTAATTTTGTTTTGTTACTAGTGGCATGTTTGACCATATTTTATCTTAATTTATTGCTAAGTAAGAAAACTTTTACGAAATCTTAAAATCTAGCATCCCAAACAGAGTATAACAAAATATTCGATTGAAAACATTGAAACTAATAACAATATAAAAAATTTATATATATTCTAGTTCGATTTAGCCCCATCTTGGCTCATAACATAGCAGTATAAATATTTAGTTTAGTTTATATTCAATACTTTCGTTCGATTTTATTCATATCCTTTTATTATACCCTCCAACTCAGATCATTAGGCTGAAACAAACGAAAAGTTTCAGTGAAACTATCTTATCAGAAATCAGTTGCCCAAAAGTTTGGGGAGGTAAGTGGGGGCAAGCCAATTTTTTTTTCGGCAAAACAAGACATCTTATTCTCACGTGTAATTTTAAAGGGACACTTTATTCCCTCAAATTCTAGCGTGCTAAATTACATTGGGCCAACGTTTAGTTTTAAAAAGTACTTTGTTTTGAGTTTTGAAGCCACAAATTACTCACAGACTTTGGAAAGGATCAAAGGGTTTTGACCATACTAGAATACCTAGAATTTTTTTTTGGGGGGGGGGGAGATAACAAGTCCCTTTAAAAGTGGATTGATGATTAATGTTCTCTCGGGCATTATTTAATAAAATGAATAATTATTTAGTGCAGTAGTACCATTACCATTAGTTTAAAATAGTAGGGTTAAAGGAAAACCTATTACTGAAGGATTTATCTGGTTAACTTGTAGTATACAAGTAGGGTTAAAGGAAAACCTTTTACTGTAGGATTTATCTGGTTAACTTGTAGTATACAAGTAGGGTTAAAGGAAAATCTTTTACTGTAGGATTTATCTGGTTAACTTGTAGTATACAAGTAGGGTTAAAGGAAAACCTTTTACTGTAGGATTTATCTGGTTAACTTGTAGTATACAAGTAGGGTTAAAGGAAAACCTATTACTGTAGGATATATCTGGTTAACTTGTAGTATACTGTAAAACGGTAGTGTACGTCTGAACGTGTTATATTGTTATAAACATTACATTTGCTCTAGAATGTAGGGATAAATTTGGGGAGGGAGGACAAACTGGTTGGCAAGAAAATATTGGAGTAAGCAAATGCCCCCTGTAGCCCTGCCAGTGGCTACATATAGTATGGAAAGGAGATGATTAATTCATTATTCCATTCATATGTTTCTGAATATTTAAGACACTGGTATGTTTCATATTTTAATTTATGATATTCAAGAAATATTTGGGAGAGAATCTCATCACAAAAAATGGGTTTATAAGAGAATTTCTTAGTAAAGATTGAAATTGATGTCAAAGTATAAAATACAACAAAGTGTGTCAAACATTTCAAAGGGGTATTTCATAGGGACTCTAGGTCACTCATGTCAGTCTGTTCTACTCACGCAATAATGTCAGTGTGTTTTACTCAGATACTAGTGTCAGTCTGTTCTAATCAGGTACTAGTATCAGTCTGTTCTACTCAGGTACTAGTGTCAGTTTGTTCTTCTCAGGTAATAATATCAATCTGTTCTACTCAAGTACTAGTGTCAGTTTCTGCTACTCAGGCAATAATGTCACTCTTTTCTATTAAGGCAGTAATGTCAGTCTGTTCTACTCAAATATTAGTTTCAGTCAGTTATACTAAGACAATAACGTCAGTTCTTCTTACCAAGGCAATAATATCAGTCTGTTCTACTCAGGCAAAAATGTCAGTCTGTTCTAGGCAGGCAGAAACGTTAGTGTGTTCTACTCGGATACTAATAACAGTCTGTTCTACATACGTACTACTGTCAGTCTGTTCTACTCAGATACTAGTGTAAGTCTGTACTGTTCAGGCAATAATGTCAGTCTGATCTACTCACGTGCTAGTATCTGTCTGTTTCACTCAAGCAATGATGTCAGTTCTTTCTACCAAGTAAATAATGTCAGTATTTTCTACTGAGGCAATCAAGTCAGTGTTCTATTCAGGTACTGGCGTCAGTTTGTTCTACTCAGACACTAGTGTTCGTCTATTCTACTCAGACAATAATGTCAATCTTTTCTACTCAGGCACTAGTATCAGTATGTTCTATTCAGGAAATAATGTCAGTCTGTTCTACTCAGGTACTAGTGTCAATCTGTTCTACTCAAGTACTAGTGTCAATCTGTTCTACTCGGGCAATAATGTCAATCTTTTCTACTCAGGCACTAGTATCAGTATGTTCTATTCAGGCAATAATGTCAGTCTGTTCTACTCAGGCACTAGTGTCAGTCTGTTCTATTCCGGTAGTAGTGTCATTTTGTTCTACTCGGGTACTAGTGTCCGTCTGTTCTACTCGGGTACTAGTGTCCGTCTGTTCTACTCG